TGTGCTTTATCAGCCGACCAGGCCTCACACACACACAGACAGAGAGGCAGCATCACATGGAAACACAATCCAGAGATGTCCAGGGAAACACTTAAAACCATATCTGATGCAATTTAGACATGTTTGAACATGATCTAATCTGCCTTTCATATTTATAGGGATTATATTCATCTCAGCTGCTGCAGACTTTCCACCATGGAGGTGCGTGTTGAGATTTACGACAAAAGGTATGAATTATCATGAGGGGATTAGAAGAAAGTGACTCTTGAGCAGAGAAACGTGAACATGAGAGTGGACAAACAGGATATCGTCGACCGAAACATCCTTTTCCTGCTCAGTCGAGCTTTTTTTTTTTTTAGCTTTTCAGAAATGCAACACAATGACTTGAAACAGCTGCTGAGTAGAAAACACTATTGTGTTGCTCACCCACTGGTTTCCTCCAAAAGAAAAGAGCTCTTAAATAGAAACTCAGGAATGCCAGGGTGTGACTAAGGTTTATTTAAGCCAAACACAGCATACCAAAACTGGACTTGAAGAAAAGCCTCAACAGATACTGGAATGTAACACAGAACAGGCAGAGATTTTCAACATGCGATTTCTAAGATGATAGGTTATTTTTTACAGCCATTTTATTTGGGCCAAATGCTAAAATTCAAACATTGATTAGTTTGTGTTTTACTGATGAAAAACACACACATACGCACTTGTCGTCATATAGGAGTGTTGGTTTTACAGTTTCAATTTGTTTTTTTTCATCATCAAGTGAAAAGATTCTAAATGAGAAAGTTAAATAGGTAGCTTTCATGTAACACTTAAACAAGTTCATCAAAGGTCTAATCAGCCTCATTTGAGCATAAGTGGGAAAATTGAAGAAATTATGCAGGAGGCCCAACTTTCCAGAAGGAAATCTCAGAAAAATAAATGAATTTATGCAATATGCCTCACTAAAAAGAACATGACGCATATCTATATGCATCTCTTGCTAAAGGTCTATTTAATGTTGATCTCTTGTGGATTAGCAACCGACCCGACTGGTTTCTCAGATTCATGCACAGCAGAGTAAGCTAATTAGTGTTATAACCGTAGCTCACCCCTAGAAATATCTAAACCAAAAACATTATTAAGTCAGTGTGGATTGAATGCCGAACATAAACTTTATGATGCGAGACATTTTCAGCACCAAATCCTTACAGCAGGAAGTATCTGCCATAGAGACAAGGAGAGATCTAAGAGTCATATGGCTACAAAACCCTGATTTACATAGAGTTATAAAGACCTGCCTTATCTAAGCCTCTACTTTTCTAATTAAATTCACACCAATGATCTTAGGCTTCCAGAAAAAAAAAAAGTCAATATTTCTTTGAACACAACACTGTTAATTCTCGTTCAACAAGAACTATTAAACGCAAAGAAAGAGTGCTGCGTCTTTGTACGAATGGCTAACAGTTTTAATGCATTTTAGAGACGGGCTACAAACCAGCAAAATCTTTCACCTCAGGTTTTACACAAGCTTTAAAACAAACTAACAAACCAGACAGTTAGTTTGTGTAATGCTTGACAAAACGTGGCTAGAACAATGGCTAAATTAATGCTGTATTTATTAGTCATGCTTTAAGGCGGATTAGTGCAGTACTGTCACAAAAAGCCAACTGTAGTATGTTTAATGTTTTATATATTATGTTTAATTCACTGACTGATATTTGCATTGTTTTTTTTTGCTGTTGTTTTTTTTTTATGTGGCTTATTCACAGCACTTTTAATGCTGAGCTACAAATCGTGCTTCTCAATGCCACCATCAGCTTAAAGGCCAGGGGAACATTTAAGGTCTGTTAAAGGTCAACAAGCATTATTACAAGAGGGCATTTTTATCAGCAGCACATGTTAAGATTGTCAAAGCACCAGTTTGCTGTGTCGCTAGGCCACTTTGCTTTAATCCTATGGCTTATTCGGTTTAGTTTTTAAGGCTCTATGAGGGAGTAACGTGCAAATTCTCAGTGACAGTTATGAATCAGTTGGTATTTGACTGGAATTGGGTTCCATTGGTCTAAACTGATTGCATTTATGACTATGCAGCAGGTTACGAAAACGATGGCATGGCACTCAAAGGCTGATTTATCTGGGTTTTTGTTCTTAAAAGAATTTGTCATCCTTGGCCACAAAATAAGAAGAGGAGGGGGTGTTGGAGGCCGACAGACGTGTCGGTGCTTAAGAAATTCAATTAAACTGACAGTGGGATGTCTGTAAAAGCCTGCCTCTCTGGGGCTTAATAAGTCTTCTAGGAGCCCCCACCTTGCCTCTTTCAAGCTTCACAACCAACCCCTGACTGCTATTCTGCCACTCCCTTTAAAACCCCACATATGCTTAGAACCCCTTCCTTAGGCTCCTTCGACCACCCAAAATATCGTCATTTTACAATAATTGGACCAAAATTATTGGACCAAAATAGCAGAAAACGATCCAGAAAAGGTGCAAGGCCCTGTATTCAAACTCTATATAACCATGTCTTCTTCCTATCTGACTGTTTATGCATCTCGCAAGCAGACAGATGCTGTTCATTTAACATTTGAGTGGCAATCCCGGAGCTTGTGTCCTAAATGCCCCAGGGAGCCTGTGGCATTTGAACAGCATGGAATAAAAGCCACTCCAGACCTCACACCATGGGGGGAGAGATCCAACCTCACAACATGGTCACTCCTCTCAGATTTCAGGGCAGCCAAGTGAGTAAATCTCTGGTGGTAAAAAAAAAAAAAGACAATTTTCCTTCCAGTCTGGCACGAAAAAAAAAAGCCTGTGTCATGACTAGGTTCCTATCTGAGAGAGAGTTGTTAGGAATCATTCACAGAGGAGAAAAACATTGTTTTGATGCGTTTGTTTCCTCTCACTGCAATCTAACCTGCAACAAGCAGCAAGTTGGCATCATGGGAGGGATGCTTTGTTGCTCTTATCAAAAAGCATCTTAACAGAAGTCGGTTCTTCCCAACCAAATTCAGCTTTCTACAAAGATGACAGATTTGTGAGGCTCAGCCTTGTAATGTACCATCCTCGTTACTAGAGCACTGATTCCATAATTATTTTGAAAAAATAGCACCTTTCTAATGAAATTACCTTTTTTTAAATATTTATATTCGTACAGTGTCTCACAAATGAATGCATTTCCCCAAATATTCTCACAATTCACATTCAAACTCCATTTTAAGAGATAAGCCAACATAATATAATAATAATTATTATTTACCTAAAAGTAAAGAAAATAATAATTTAAACCTACAACCATAGTTTTAAGGCTAAGAAAATATGATTTCAGCAATAAAGCAACTTGGTTGCAGACCCATATAAAAGCGACAATTTAAGATTTTACCAAAACCATTTCATGACCATTTTAAACCTTTTATTATTTGAACAACTAGCTGCACTAAATATTTTTGCTCACATTGAATGCATGCTACTTGCAGTACAAGCAAGTTTCTTTGTTGTTGGCAATATTTATAATTGTAAATGTATTGAAGGAGGTAACATATTTTGCAGCCTTAGCATATATTCAGCTTTTCTGTAAGGCCATCTAAGTAGACCTGTTTAGTTTTGCCAGATGATACCCAAATTCCAAAAATGGAATATGCATGCATGTTTTATTTAACTAAGACATTTTTAGGAACAAATATTGAAGCAAGTGAGGAGAAATATTCATATTTAGGGATATTTTTCCTAGAAGGGACAGAGAAGCTAGTAAGAGTTGATTCGATGCAGCTGAAAGAAGGCCAATCCTGGAAGCAAACCGGTTAGAGGCTCCAAAAGACATGGCCGCGGTAGAGGTTCATCTGAAACAGGTCAACAACCCTCAACATAAAGCTATAGCTAAAATAAAACTACGTACAACAAGCATATTCATGTATTGGAACGGCCTAATCAAAGTCAATCTGAGTGAGCTTAAGTAATTATAGTAGAACATTTCCCTCCCTGCATGTGCAAAGCTGGTAGAGAGAAGCCCCAAAAGATTAGCATCACAAACTAATGTTTTACCCGGGTGGGCTGAATTCAGTTTTAAGCCACACTTTGGAAAACAGGCTACTAATTTCCTTTCTTTTTATAATGATGTGTTACATCACGTTGCCTTTTCATGTACGTTTCTGGTTGTTGCAAAACAAAATAGTACATGTGCATGGCACTGTACAGCGCCCTGTGTCAAATCCCTTGGGTCACACACTGTCACACACATCTGATGAAACAGCAGCTCAGAACGGATCTAGCACACCGCAGAAACAATAGTGACGTTACATAACAAGAGCCGAAAACTGTCCCAACTGCTGCACATGACAACGTTTGGATTAAGGGCTCTCTCAGCTCTCTCATCATTCATTTTTTTGAATCAGTTATCTGCACGGCTTTATCAACAGGTTCCAGGTACGTCTGATAGTTAACATGTGCCCATGTGAGCTGATCAGAGCCCACTCCTACATGCTGCTGCCCTGTTCTTATAAATCAAAATAAACCCTCAGCTAGACAGAGGGCTTTTTCCCCCTCCAGTGAAGCAGAGTTTATTCCTTTTGCCAAGCAGATCACAGGGAGCCAAGCGCGGCTTAGTATTCTCATGTCCCATCATGGCATTTGTGGCTTTTTGGCCATGTATTTAGGTCTTGCAGGGACACTGATTTCTGGACCTGTGCCATGCATGTCAAACGGGCCCAAAGAAAGAGGAAAACTCCTCCTCCACAACAGAAACTGAAGTGATCATCAGTGCGTCGTCTCAAAATATTAGGCCTTCTTGAACCAAGAGAACCTAATGCCCTGACCTAAACCAGACAAATCTCAAAGGATGGGCTGGTTTAGCACTGAGAGGCAATTTTAGTTATCCAGCAGACACCTTCCCCCCCCAATCAGGATGCGACTGCAAAGTCGAATCAAGAAACTAAGTGGCTATCCTTAATAAGTTTCATTAAAACATTTAGAAAAAGGAACGTCTGTTGAAAGCCAAACTAGGAGATTTCAACAATGACTTCACTCACCGTTCAATCCATTAGGGATGCTCCTGTGGTGATGGGGTGCAGACAGATCATCCATTGACCTCCTCATGGTGGGCATCTTACTGTTCTCTGAGGGTTTGTGTACATGGTTGTGGTGATCTGGGCTGCCGGCGCTCCCTGTGCTGGACGTGCTGCTTCCATCTCCAACATCTCTGACTGTCCCAGCTCCACCGTTCAGGTTGCTGAGGCTAGACTGGCTGTCTATGGAGCTCCTGGAGCCAGCCCCGTTCCTCTCCTCATCCAGCATGAGGATGATCTCCTTCAGCTCAGAGTTCTCCCTCAGCACACTCTCCTGGTTGGCCTCCAGCTCTTTTAGCTTCATCATGTAGGCACCTACCTCCTTCCACATGGCGCTGGCAGTGTAGCGGCCAAAGCGCTGCCACTCCCTGGACAGCTTCTTGCCCTTCTGCCTGTCATCATCCAGGAAGCAGCAGAGCTCCCGGAGCTCATGGTTGTCATCCTGCAGCTTCTGGTTGACCTCTTTCAGACTCCTGATCTCATGCAGGTGCAGCTGCAGCCGTCGGTTGATGTCTTTCATCATGTTGCCATGCTCAATCATCAAGTTCATTTTCTCCCCATCCACCTTCCTTAATTTCCTCACCAGCTCCTCTTTGCTGAACCGCAGCAGGTCATCATCAGTCATCTGGCTCAGGTCATCTTTGGCCCCCTCTGAGGGATTTTTAGCCATGACTGTAATCTAAATCTCAGTGTGTGAATACTGCTGCTTTCAACTCACTGTGAGAACCTGACTTAACCCAACCTGAGCTGAGGGATGGTATTGGAAAACGAACACATTGTCCAAACTAAAGCTCCTGTGGTAGATTGAAAATATTAATTGGATGCTATGACAACCTGTGCATGGGCTGAAAGCCCTCCCTCCCCAGCCCCTTTGGTTTGGTAAATAAAAGCCTAACTGGACCTCAAAGCCAACTGTTGGTACTCACATTTCTCCAGTTATTACTGATAATGCTGAGATATTGATTCAGAGATATTCCCAGTCTGGTCCGAATCCAATCAGCACAGCGCGTCCCTCAGCTTAGACACCATCCTCGCAGGACATCACTACACACAAGTGATAGGACATAAATAATAACAATAAAAAGAAACAGGATGGTTTTTTGGGGCGGATTTAAAATCGGCCAGCTTAAAAGCGAAATCAGTCCCGTTTCTTTCCCCTTCCCTCCGTCTGGAAGCGGTTAGACGTCAGAAAAAGCGCTGCTCCGCGAAATAGAAATCCCTGTCATGAGATGGTGCGTTCGCTGGACTGAGAGCGCTTAGTCTCTTTCAACCTGACCACTTCCCAGCGAACACCTCCCCCCTCTCCTCTTCTGTGTCCAAAGTCTTCGGGTTTGAAATCATTCAAGAGGATTCGGCTCCAGAGGGCCAATCAAGACAGAGCAGAGAGGCAGGCAGCAGGTAGATGAAAAGTGCGCCCCTCACGCAGAGCGCTGGAAGCTCTGCCCTCTTAAAGCAACAGCATGGAACGTTCACGGCCCCACGGAAAAACTGAAGAAAATAATAATACTTGTATCCAAACATACCAAAACTACGAGAGAGGATTAGCACTGAAAAAAAACTAAAAAAAAACGATTTTTCTCATTTTATTTCAGTTTAATGAGAATTCTGACTTTAATCTCAGAATTATGACTTTAATCTCAGAATTCTGACTTTTTTCACAGAATTCTGACTTTAATCTCAGAATTATGACTTCAATCCCAGAATTCTGACTTTTTTCTCAGAATTATTACTTTAATCAGAATTATTACTTTAATTATTTTGACTTTTTTTCTCAGAATTCTGACTCTTAATCTCAGAATTCGGACTTTTTTCTCAGCTAGTTTAGTATTTAAAACAGGCATGGCTACGGCTTGATGCTAACATGTTTGTTGGCTGTCAGAATTTGGTCAGAATTCTGTGAAAAAAGTCAGAATTCTGAGATTAAAGTCATAATGTTGAGATTAAAGTCATAATTCTGAGATTAAAGTCATAATTCTGAGATTAAAGTCAGAATGTTGAGATTAAAGTCAGAATTCTGAAGTTAAAGTCGGAATTTTGAGATTAAAGTCGGAATTCTGAGATTAAAGCCAGAATTCTAAGATTAAATAATAACATTAATAACATTAAGTTAGCCATTATATTCAGGCAAAATGTGTGGGTGTATATGAAATAAAATGTTTATCAGTTGATTAAATTCTTTTGAGATTTTAAAGCTCAGTAATGTTATTTGAATTCCCAGTATTTATAAATGTTTAAAAAAATTCGCTCACATACTGACCTAATCTGCACAGAATGGGACTAAATGACAAAAAACAGAACTCCATAAAAAGGAAAAATAATCTGAATTATGAGAATATTTAAGTGCATTTTTTTTTTCACATGAAGGTTCTACAAATCTCAACTATTTTTTATTTCTTATTTTTTTCTTTTATATGCTGCTTATACTGAAGCCACAAAAAATTACAGACCAATGCTTCTTTGTTATGATTAGAATAATGTTTCACAAATTTGGGTTTTAAAGAATGTATGGCGAGTATAATGGATTATTCTGGATTTGACCTCTTCTGAGTCTTACAGATTTTTTTGAACAGTGAAGATAATTGTAAGCTAGATTCGTTAAAAATAGTGAAATAGCTCTTTGACCACTTGTATAGAACACAGGAATGATGTCAAAATCCAGCATTGAGAACAGCCGGTTACAACAAAGGGAGTGCCCCCTTCCCATTGACAGGAACATGCAACCGAACAATTAACACCTTGTTTCAGTCAATTGCTCCTGCTGCCCCTCTGATATAGGGGCACATAGGGTTAGGAGTAAAAAAAAAAACAAAAAAACAATTACATTGAATTTATTTTTTGTAATTGCTTTTTGTGTCTTTTAAAATCATGAAGTTGTGAAAATGTACAAATTTCAGTTTAAATTGAACATTTAGCTAGAAGACTGGCTAAGCTAACTCACAGGAAAATTGATCAAAAAAAGAAGATTGTGAATTTGGTTATTCTTTATTCAAACAAAAAGAAGATAATTGAAAAGAACAGAGAACAATAAGGTAAAAGGAGAAACTTTTTATGCTTATTCCATTTCAGTGGATTTTTTAAAGCAATTTAAGAGATGGTGCAAGTTCTGCAACATGTTTCAAAATTAAACATTAAATTTGGGGTCTGAATCAAAATCTGCTTTGTATAAATTGATATACAAAAAATAGTGTTAACACCAAAGAAATAAGCCAAAGGTTACCATGGAAAAGAGAAAATGTACTGTTTCTTTGGATTTTTCATTTGTCAACATTAAACAACAATAAATATTTTACATCTAAACAAAATATAATCTAATTTACTTGCATTTCTAAAATATGTTCAGCATCCAGTGCAATTAAATAAATGGTATCCATCCATTAATTTAAAGAGATCACAGCGCCCCCCTGTGTAGATTGCCCATAATGGTAAAGCTTTAGTTAAATTATAGGAAACTGAAGGCATCATACAGAGCATAGTGTAAATATATAGATAAATGTACTGTTCATTACCAACATATATTGATTAAGTCAGCAGTAAAGCAAAAGATGCAGTTTTACCACAAAAACAATTAATTCTGTTGTAAAGTTTTGTTGGTTTTTTTGTGCTTATTTTTTGTATTTCCTGTGTCTGATGGTACAGATCACTCCACTCTTTGGCTTCAGGGTGCCGGTGTCCTCTATGTCAAAGGTCTGATCCGGGACGAGGTTGAATTCAAACCTCTGAAGCAGTTTTGCCATCACCACCTTAGCTTCCATCTGAAAATTCAAGGACATTTTTACTTTTTTTTTTACCAAAGTCTATGTCTCTGTAATTGTGCTGACACTTTATGGTCATTTCTATTTGAATGACTCACCTGAGCAAAGTTCAACCCTAGACATGAGCGTGGACCAAGAGCAAAGGGATAGTAGCAGTAATAAGGCCTTGGAAAAAACAAGATAAGATAAAATGTTTTATTCTTTCATCTTGCATAGAAACATTTTTTAAAGGCACTCTTTAAAAATAAGCATTATTTTGGAGTTGTGTTTTACTTACTTTGGAGCATCTGGATGAAATCTGTCTGGATCAAATTTTAGAGGATCCTTGAAGAACATTTCCATCCTCCCAGTAGTATAGGTGCTAAACTGAAAATTAAAGTAATATGTCAATGTTAAGAAAAAAAGGAAGCTCCAACTTTAATGGATTGCTTCGTCTGGTAACAAGTAATTAAATCAAGTTCATCCAACTTAATTTTTAGGATTTTGAGTTGAAAACGTAAAGTTGGGCAAACTGAACTCGATTACTTGTTACCAATAAAAGGGAATAAGTAGGAGCTGTATTTTCTCTTAAGAGTATAACAAGGAAGATACAGTTTTTATTATTGTCAAAAATAAAACCAGACTATCAGTTCCCTTTTTAGGGTGAGCTAGGATTAGCCAAATTGCTTACATTGCCTTTTTGCTAGATGAGAGATAACTTTTTACGTGATTTTTTGGATATTCTTTACATTCAATAGTGTACATTGTACAATGTAATTAATTTACGCTGCCTTTCAACAAATAGGGAAACTCCAGATATTAAAATAATGTTGCTTTAATATGCTGGTGCAGATTCTCAGTCATCCAGATCATAGTCATTCCTTCTTGCTATCATCACAAATCCCACCCACATACAGGAGACCAGAACGTCTCCCCTGTTCAGCCAGGCCAACAATTCCCCCTAACGACCCTCATTTCAGAGGCTTAGACCAGTATCAGGTATTGCAGGCTTTAGTTTGCATGTTAATGGGAGAGTGGTGGCCTAGTGGTTAGCATAGAGCTTGGAATCCAGAGGTTCTGAGTTCCAACCTAGTCGAGAACCCTTCCTGGATGGGAGGCGAAACATCTTCAGACTTGGAAACAAAGTCAAGTTGATTGTTTTTTTAATTTTTTTTTTTTGGAACCGCACATGACAAGTTATGTATTTCTTTTTAAGTCCACTTGTAAATTATGTGCTTGGTCTATCACAGTAAATCCCAATTAGACATGCAAGTTTATGGTTGTTATAGAGGAGATAACGTTCAAGTGGTTGGAAGACTCTTAGAAGGCACCATAAAGTAGATGTTGTGTTTCCACCAATGATTTGCAAAGTCATTCATTGAAACAACCTAATACAGTAACACCTTTAGTTTTGGATTCTTATTTGTGTTCTGATGAAACACCTTTTATAGCAAGACTTACCACACCACTGACCCCTCCAGGTATGTGAACACCATTGATTATCATGTCTTCCTCTATGTCACGGGATGTTCCTGGAGCAGTTGGATAGATCCTCAGAGTCTCTTTGAGCACCTATAGAACAATAATAGACACATCAACAAAACGTCTTAAGGTTAAAAAAATAATAATAATAATAACAAAAAAGTGTTTAAGGAAGCAGCTTTTAAAAATTACCTGTGAGAGATAGACCAGTTTCCCGAGGTCATCATTGCTTATTTCTTGTTTCATCCCAATAACATCATCCACTTCTTTCTTTGCTCTATA